ATGGTTCTAGGACAAACGTTCAGGAGAAAGCGCACGCGCCACATGGAGGATGGCAAGATCTTGCCAAGCAGTCTTCGCAGCCAAAGAGGCAGGAAGTACATCCAGTACGTATAGACTGTGTTCGCATCCAATATGTCGTTTCTGAGCTTGTCATAAATGTACTGCCCACCATCTAGTATGCAGGACCCGCAAGAGAGTGCCGCGAGGTGCATTATATCTGGTGGATTAAACTTAACCAGCCTGTGCCCCTTCTTCTCCAACATTTCCTTCGTCATCATTACAACTCGTCCGCATACTGATATCGGCGGTAAAAATCCATCAGTGTAGTATCCGATAGTCAAAATCTTTTCAGAAGTATAAACTTCTTCTTGGAAGGTAAACGGAATAACATATGGGTCGAGGTTATGCATGCCAAGAGAAAGCACGATTCGCATGAATAGAACAACGCTGTCGACATCTCTAGCCATTGGCCCAAGACAAGCACAAATAAGTGGACGGCCTGGGACCGATGCGTAGCTGCCGACGTGACTGAACAAATCACCGGTAGGTTTGAAGCCTACGATGCCACAAAAATGTGCCGGGATTCTAATACTGCCTCCAACGTCTCCACCGATGCCTAGAAACACAAGACATAAGTTCCGTTTTCCACAAAGAACCAGTAAGAAACGCACCCACCTCTAAAACCAGGAAAAGTCTAAAAGAATCTTCAAATGGATAAGGGTTGGAGAAGACTTTTACTGTTCGAGTGTTAGTTTTTACCTTCGTAATCAAACGTGAAGTTTCTAATAAAGCGCATTTGACATCTATATAATATACAACACTGAGCAGAGAGAAAAAGCAATAACAGAGAGATGAACATTACAGTACAGTACAGAGATCTCTCGAAGAGAAGTACGGTTTACAGTATGCTACTCAAACAACATGCTAAAGACGCATTTAAGCAATAAGTGAATAATAACCTACACGAAAACGCTCTGATCTCCTTAAGACCAATCTGCTAAAGGGTAACAAAGCTTGAATATAAATAAGGCAAAGTAATGGCAGTGACTACCATAATCGAAAACAAGAAAACTCCGTCGTTAACACTTACGCTCTCAAGATCGGATGAGGAATAAGCAGGGATGAAGACTGTGGTGAAGTCTCCTTAAATCTCAGTTACCTCCCTTAGCCCATCATGATATTAAAGTCATCGAAAATTTTACCCGCTCGGTTGTCGCCCGGAGTGCCAAGGCCCGCCCAAGCTGCTGGAGGACTGAGGCAGGCAGCGAAAAGTCCGCGACGAGTACCCGCTCATCGCTTTCTAGCAGCAGGGGGTTATAGCAGAATGACAACGGCCATAGAAGATATACGAAACGACGAAGAAAACAAACAGCAACGAAGTCGCTACCCTTATTGAACGGAGGACGTAAACAGCGCGATGCCATTATAGCACGTCAGAAAAGGCTGCACGAGAACGACACCACCAGTGGGAGCTTAAACTCGGAAATTGGAACATATCCTCACTCAGAGGAAAAGAATAGAATTAGCTGATAAAGCCATAAAGTATCAACTCGACTTTGTTGGACTCTCGTCAACGAAGGACCAAGGCTCCGGACTTCTGAACCTCAGCAGGTGGAAGCCATTCTACTCAGGTGTCGATATCACTACTCGCTTTCAGGCAGGTGTTGGCGTTCTGGTAGAACCCAACCTTGCCCATAGAATAATCGATTGGAAGCCTATCAGCGGAAGGGTGGTAATCCTCTGATGGAAGCTACAACAGGCTAAATCGATGACCTCGGTACAGGTCTATGCGCCCAATCTGGAAGGAGAATATGAGACCTTCCTTGAGGAAGTGCAATGTGCTCTGTCTGAAGTGCCGAATACAGAGTC